AGCCTCCTCCAATACTCTACCAACTTGTGTTGGGCAAGGTTGTCACATGTTGAGGCTCCAACCCACCTTATTAATAAGACGATAATAAAAATACACTCAATTAAAATAAGCTAAAAATTAAGGAAAATTGTGTTATAAAATCATGATGAGGTATGAGAAATTTACCTACAACCATAAGCTTCGAGTCTTAGGAGATGATCGGGACCCCAATTCCTGTCGGGACATTGGAGCGGTGCAATCCATGGAAGATGCTCCCAAGCCCAAAACTGGACGATGAACATTGCGTCGCCGACCTCCCTCGCAGCTTTGAGAGATGTGTTGCACAAGTGGTGGTAAATATTAGCTAGGCAAACGGATGCCCAGCTCAACTCCCCCATCACATCCCACCTACCAAGGAGGATCCTAAGCCATCCACAGCTAATTAAATTGCTCGATTTTTTGGAGAAGAACACTCCTCCTATCATGCCCATGAGATAGACACGAGCATATCTTTCCTTCTCCAGCTCTGGACTTTCCTCGGTTAGGGGCACCCCATCTTTTTCAGGATCGTGATGGTCCCTAAAGTACTTCCTCAATGGTGGCAAGCCATCCGTCGCATCAACGCTCCCCTTGGTTGGTACTTTCACCCCCAAAACACTGTGGATGAAATACTGCCAACCGGTCATACCGTCACGATCCTCGGGGGGGGGGGGGGGGGGGGGGGGGGGGGGGGTGATCACTCTCACACACCGCTTTGCCGTCGATAGGCAGATGAGTTAGGATGGCGACGTCCTTGAGTGTGGTGGTGCACTCTCCTTCGCGAAAGTTGAAACAATGTGTCTCCTTTCTCCATCTCTCCACCAATGCGGTAATGAGTTGGCGATCGACTTTTATGCCTAGAAAATGCCTAATCGACTCCAACCATGCCCTTTTGAGATAGGGCAAAATAACTGGGTTCCATGGGAGCACATTGGTCGTACCCCCTGTAGCGGAGTATTTGTTGTGCCTCCTAGCAAAACTTTCAACGTTATTTATGATATATTAGTAACAGTTTAGTCTTATAACTAAATAAATTAAAATTACTGATTTAATTTCAACCATTATTAAAATTATTTATGATATATAAGTAATAGTTTAGTCTTATAACTAAATTAATTAAAATTAATGATTTAATTTCGAATATTATTCTATTATAATTATATTATTAACAATCAAAATTTAAGTAATTTGCGGTTTTTTCCAAGATATATACATATTATCATAAAACAAATATACTAAATTAATTGGCATAAATAACAATCTAAATGAATAATAATTGAAAGAGATACATACATATTCAAACATTTGAAATTAATAAATTCATTTAAGTACACATAAACATAAATCGTATTGGTTGTTTGGTAAGTAATTTAATCGTATTGATTGTTTTAAATAATTTAATCGAATACAATGCAACACTCGTTAGACTCTTAGAAGAGGTATACATCTTCTTAGAAACGCAGCCTTTTTGACAGAAAAAGGGGGGATCCGAGGATCTCTTAATACCCGATTTTCCCAGGAAATGGGAGGATCATGATAATTGCTTAAAACCCCATTTCCTTAGACGTGCATCTCTTTATAATGAGTCGAAGTAAGTGGCGCTATGTATTCGATTAAATTATTGAAAACAACCAATACGATTAAATTATTTCAAATTTATTTTATATTCCACTAAGTACATTAGCAAAATAAATAAAAAAGATAAATGATGAAGAATTTTATGCACCGGGTGATCGTTCCAAACATCCCTTGAACGATGGTTGAGTTTGGTCATACAAGTCGGTCGGATCAATAGGCCCTTGATCCAAATAGTACCGTTGGTTGTATATATTCACGTCGTCCCCAACCTACGAGAGAATAACAACAAGGTTAGTACATAGATTAACAAAAACAAAAATTGACCAAAATAATGATTACCTACCGCTTGAAATTCATCATAATAAACTCCCTCTTCTTGGAACCACTTGTCCATTTTCTCGCGAAACTCGGACAGAGATTCGGCGTCGGATAGAAATTCAGCGAGCGGGTTTTGAGGGAAAAACCAAAAAAATGTTTTCTGATGACAGATCGAACTTAGCCGCAACCAACAGACCACTATTTCCTAGGCTTTTGGGAGGGGAGGGGTTAGAGAGCTAATTCTAGAGAGAGAGAGAGAGAGAGAGAGAGAGTGGAGAATGGTTGTGGTGTGAAAAAATGAGAGGGGGGAGGGGATATTTATACCCATCAGACCGCACCCTTCAGGGGCGGTCTGGTAATTTTCCCCCAGTCAAAACTGCTCCATGCCGAGGCGGTTTACGCTCGCCGATGCTTGACCGCACCTCGGCGCAGCGGTCTTCCATCCGTGGCAAGGATCGCTGACCTGGCAAGCGGTCCGCCACTCGACCGCTTCTTCATCCTGCGGTCCGCAAGGCCGCTGCCCACCAAACACAGACCGCACCTCCAAGGTGCGGTTTTCAGTCTGAGGTGGACTAAAACGCACCTCCAAGGTGCGGTTTATACATAAAACGCACCTAGAGGGTGCGGTTTATTTATAAAACGCACCTTGGAGGTGCGGTTTGATAAAAATGGTGCTATTTTTGTAAATGTTGTGAGATGGGTGCTATTTTTGTAAAAAAAAAAATAATAGATGCTATTATTGGAAAAATCCCAAAATCATGGGGAGTGGGCGGCTGGGTGGGGAAATAGGGTTTTAATTTAATTTTACTTTTTCATATTAATTATTAATATATATTATATTAATCATGTTTTCCTAATATCACATTTACCCTTAACAACTAACTACCTCCTAACCTTCCACAAACTAACTAAAATTTTATTAGTCAATAGAAATGCTTTTTAAGCATAGGAGCATAGGATCTACCCCGCATCAATGGATACTCATGTATTTTGACGCCTATGCTATGTCATTGATATTTAAGTTTCGATGCTTATGTTTATATTGTATGTTACTATATACTTTGTTTATAATATCTGCTCTCCAACTTCATCACCTAACTCTCGCATATGGATTTCACAATAGGTTGCCACGGAACTGAAGCTTCCTTTATGATTGTCCATTGCAAAAATGATGTGACCAAAGTACTCATCCTTCTTTCTTTTAAAGGATTTTCGAAAATTTTCTCAACTTGAACAAATAAAAAATAAAAGGATAGATGTGGAACACGATCAAACAGATCCCAACTTGTCTGAATGGCCAATCACTATTAGGTAGAAGCTCACCACAACTAGATGTGTTCTCTAGTTGATAACAGACACGTAAAACTTCTGAAGACTCTCGACGGAAGCTTGCACAAAAGAACTAGTTCGTAATGAACTTGAAATTTGACTTGATTGATTGAAAATTTGATGATTTACAATGGGGAATTCGGCCCTTATTTATAGACTCTCTAAACCAAATCCAAAACATAAAAAGAAAGCAAATAACTAACCAAATCCTACAATTAAAAGGAAAACCTACTTTGACCCATTCAAGATTCAACCCCTTAAAAGATGCCCTTCAAATCCGCCACCTTTGTTCCATTCACACTTGAGATTTTCACACCTTCATTCCTACTAGGTTAAGGAAGTGGTCTTCCTTTTGGGCTAAGGAACCCTCAAAAAGCCTATTCTCCTTCTCTTGGTCGCCACCTTCATCCTCCAAACCCATTTGATCTCTTTCAACAAATTGCAACGCCATGATGGGCTTCCCTTGATGGTGGTCCACGTCTATATGATCAAAATGACGATCCAAGTAGTTTGTAACTTCCTCCCTTAGCCTCTTCGCCTTGAGACGTGTAATAGGACCTTCTTGGGAGTTTGTAGATTTGTCTTTGATGACCTCATCAAAATATCTCACGATGAGTTACCAACTTACAAAGGTTGTCCGCTCACTCGTCGCTCCACCACCGGTTACTTCATCCGACTTGGGGATGCACCTATATCTTAATCTCGGCATTGACACGCTTGGCCATGTCCCTCTATACTGTGATAATTAGGTTGCTTTCCACATCGCGGCCAATCTAGTGTTTCATGAGCACGCCAAGCACTTCTAGATGGACTGCCATTTCGTTTGCGAGTGTGTCCAGTCTTTTGATATAGACCCTCGCAAGATTTCCTCTGATCAGCAACCTGCGGATGTCTTCACCAAAGGACTCGTCATCGATTAGCTCATCTATTTACTTTCCAAGTTTGGCATTCTTAACATTCATGCCTCCGCTTGAGGGGGAGTATTACGTGTTAAAAGGTTTGGGTCCTTTTTGTGATTTTCCTCCTTTCCCTTTCCTCCCTTCCAGCTTGTGTAGGGTTTTATATGCTCTTGTATGTATAGGCGATGTAGAGCAAAGGCGTCTGCAAGTCACAATAATAAATAACACAGAACTCGAGAGCTCCTCTCTCTGTGGATAGTCTCGTTCACACCAAACGGGGAAACCGCGTAAATCATGTTGTCTCATTCTTTCGTGTTTACGTTTTCTTCATCCCCAACTAGATCTGCTCATCAGCGGGAGAGAAGCAATGACAGAGGGTGTGGAAACGGCTTCCGACGTTGGGCAGAGTAGTGGAAGAATCATCAATGTCCTCGTCATTCATCACCTTCGTGGTGGTGGCTTCCCCATATATGCTTTTGCGTCGATATTAGCAGGTAGTCAATGACTCCTCACTTTCGGTAACCCGGGAAAACTCAATCCGACATACGACAGCCTCACTCCAATTAACCTCATCGCTTGCAACTTCGGGCAATCATTTCGTCAGTCCCATGCAATCAATCGTTGCTGGCAATACCTCCTAGGTTCGTTGGTTCGATGAAACCGAGACGCCCAGAGAAGCAGAAACCAAAATGCCAAGAAATCCAGCAACTCTTCGGATTAATAAAGCTAGTGTGTGGTCGTCAACGACCGGGGTGGTGGTGGCTTAGTTTAGCTTTTTGCGGTGGAAGATAATTTTGATCATATATATTTTATTTTTCGTAATGGACTAATGTTAGCTTATGTAAAAAATATTAAATAGTTGAATTATATTTTTTATTTAATTTATAATTAACAAGTCAACAGAATTGGATGAAGAGTGACCAATGATAAAATAAAAGTGTAAAGTTAGTGACCATTAATGTAATAAGACATTTGGAGTGACATTCTCAGTGAACAAATTTACAACTCACTCAAAAAAAAACGATAATATGGATCAACGTAGAAAAAATCCTGATTATCAGAGTCCAGAAGGCCATAATAAAGTAATAAACAATGTTCCCACATGGTCGAAAACCCAAAAGGCCATAGAGAAAAAAGTCAAATAATAATCGTAATAAACTAATAATCATACTAATAAATAATAATAGCATTATCATCATCATAATAATAAACAGGTCACCACTAGGAGTAGAACCAAAAAAAAAACAGTAAACCAGTGAAGAACACACAGTTAGACCTCCTTCCTGCTAAAACAAAGCCAAGCAAAGCAAGCAACCACCATGTTAGACCAAGGCAATGCTGCTCTCCCCACCAGGAGGCTTCCGGACTCCACCAAAGTAGTCCCTATGCTCTGCCTTCCCGTCGGCAAAGATGTTGTTTCCACTTATCTCTCGCAATTTCGCGTTGCTAATTGGCTTCTCCGCCGACGATGGAGGCACATCGCCGTTGAAGATGTTGTTTCCTGAGAGCTCAGAGAACTTTTTGTCGTAAATTTTCTTTGCTGTCTTCAGGTTGTCTTCCGATGACATCTGTCCTCCAGCAGGCTACATAGAACACAGCAGATGCATATACATAAAACCAGTAAGACCTCTTCAATCTTTCCAACAATGCTAAGACAACAGTGAATCACTGGGGTAACAGATACTTCACAAAAATACCGATTCTAAAGGCTAGTGGAGGGAGACCGACCGGGTGCAATCAATCAAGTAGCAATTTCAAATCTGATACTACCACTTCAGCAGATTTAGCAAATCATACTTCAGTCAACGATATAAGAGACCATCTATTTTTCTTATTGTAGTTTCACATTTTCAATGGTTGGAACCCACACAATATTGTTAAGGATTATGTTCACTCGACTTACAGTTTAATCAAACAAAAAGTAACAAACAAACTAAAAATATCTAGAAACAGAAAGCGAATTTCATGTGGAATCCTGAGTAGAATTGCTAACTTAGGAATCTAGCAAGTCCAGTCCATCCACATTCGGGAATTGCTACTTGCAATGCCAAGCAGGCATCACATCACTCACTAGCAATTGCTAATAAATGATATGGCGAAGCTCAAAGCAGGTCACTAGGGAGGGAGTTGCTGTCATATCAAACAGCACACTAGTGCGTTAAGTGTCACTAGGGAGCATCCGACAATGGTCTTTGGCATCGTTAATGATAACGAACAGGAGCGGATCGATTAATACTATAAGAATCTGCTGCAATACCACTCTCATAAATTGAACAGTTACCGACTTACATCCCGCAGAGCAGGTTCACCCAGCTCTATGCTTTCCTTGAGTGCCAAAGCTCGGACAGTTGTAGGGCGTGGCAAAATTTCTGGTGGGGGTGCAAAAATGTTATTCCCACTCAGCTCTTTGCACTTAGCATCAGAGAGCTGCTTCTTCAACCTGGCCTCTGCCTCGGCCTCACTTTCCAAGGTACCACTTAGCTCTCGCTGCTTGGCAACCTCAGTCAAGGTAGCAGGTTTTTTAGGAGAGACGCTCTCTTCTTCTCCAAAAGAAATGTGACTGATTCCAGCAAGAGTTTGCTGTAAATATGAACCATGAAAACATATAACAGAGAATATGGCATCTAAGTTTTTTTTTTTTTTTTTTTTGTTTCAACAACTTCGCTGATTTTGATAACCCATGGAGAGCATACTAACCTGATACATTCTCATCCCTGTTCTAGCATTAGGGGTAAGATTTGCATTTCCATATTCGCCTTCTTCATGTTCTCCCTTACCAGAGAAAATGCCACTGCCGGTCATTTCCTTCATCTTGTATCCAGAACATGGTTTCCTGAAACCCCAGAAACTCAAAATCCATCACGGAAAGATCAAGGAAGAGAGAGAGAAGATAGACATCCGCCAGATCAAGACATAGAGAAGCCTAGAGGCTTGTTGTGTTGTAACGGCTATATTGCTATTTGCTATTTGCTAATCAACGGGAAATCTCAACATTTGAACAATTACAACTAATAAATTGAACGACAAACAGCTATAGAAACAAAACAAACTATCAGAATAATACTTGCGTCTTTATCGATCAGACAAATTTTCAAAATTTGGAAATCAAAACAGGAGAAGGGGAAAAAAAACGATCTTGTAGAGAATGATCTGGAGATCTCACCGTTTGTTGAGACTATCAGTTTCTTCATCAGTCACCTGACCTCCGAACACCACCTTACTGATTCCATCGGAGGGCTGACAGAATTCCAAACAAATGAACGGAAGAAATAGATTAATAATAAAGACAGCCCAATTGAGCATTAGGTGAAAAACAATTGAAGGTACCTGGTGCGACCTGGCGGCGGAGGTGAGCGACGGAGACTCGGGAGGTGGAGTCTCCGACCAAGTGAGTAGATCTGCAGTGGAAGTGTGGGGCTTCCTCACCGGCGTACTCCTCTCCATCCTTCCTTTTCCAAAATCCTACGGCCGCACGAGTCACGAACCTTCTCTCTCTAAGCTTTCAGCTCAGCTTTGCCTAATCAAGCAAGCAGTTCGGTTTAGCTCTGAGCTTCGGATCTGAGAGAAAATGACGATGGTGACCCCTTGCTGGCGGTTGCGGGTTTGATCTGGAACTTTCTCCCCTGGTTTTGTAGAGAGAGAGAGAGAGAGAGAGAGAGAGAGAGAGAGAGAGAGGTGGGGCTAGAGTAATCTATCTATGAGTAGGAGCTACTTCTCTTCTCCGGGAGGGTTGCTCTGTTTGTTTTAAAAGCAAAGTAAAGCTAAGATACCAAAGTAGAGCAGTGAAAATCTATATATTTACAAAGAAGACGGGGTGGGCTGGAGAGAGGAGAGTGAGAGTGGAGACCCAACGGGAAAAATCAACATTTGCCCCTCCTCCCTCCTTGCTTTGCTCGGCTTCTCTAATGAAAAAGAGTTTTGAATCTGATACAACAAGAGCAGTCTTCTCTCTCTTGCTTTCTCTGTCTATTCGAAAGCTAACCATGTGCGTTGGAGTGTTAGATTGGATTGAACTTTGGAGAAGGTTGTATTTTTTTTTCATAGGTATAATATGCCTCTCTACTATGTCTTTTTATCAAACATGCTGCTCTACTATTTTTTACATCAAACATGCTCTTGTATTTTAGAAAAATGATCAAACATGCCCTTTTGTTAATATTTTGGTTTAATACACTTGTATATCCAAAACTTTCACGGTTGTGCCAATAATATCCAAATTTCCCGAAATACCACTTATATCCATGTTTTAAAGTTGTTCTTTGCCAAATCTATCCATTTCCCAATATATTTTTGGTTAAATACACTTGCATATCCAAAAACACCGTTATAGAATGTGAAGGAATTGGATAGAAGTGGTATTTCGGGAAATTTGGATATTATGGGCACAACCGTGAAAGTTTTGGATATATAAGTGTATTTAACCTAATATTTTCATCCAAAAACAGTCAATCATGGTCGTACCTTGGTTTGGGCGACACAAATGTCTAAAATATTCTTGGTAATTTCACTTTAAAATTTCCGGGTTCTTTTGTAGAGCCAAATACCTCTAATAATTTCACTTTAATGAGACCTACAAAAATAAAATGGGGAACAAAACTGACATTTTCGCTCTCATTTGCCAATGTCGGGTCATCTACATCTCGGTTCAACCATGGTTGGCGATTTTTTTAATGGAAATTTTAACAGAAGGGCATGTTTGATCATTTTTCCAAAGTACAAGGGCATGTTTGATATAAAAAATAGTCTAGGGGCATGTTTGATAAAACTACATAGTAGAGGGGCATATTATACCTATAACCCTTTTTTTTTTCTTTCTTTTCCTTTCTCGCTACCACATGCCGTTATAGCTATGACTTTTCAGTGCTATTACCGGTTTCTATATAAATGCTAAATTTGATCTCTGGGTTTACTAAAACGTGTCATGTTTAGTCACTGAAAAAATTAATATAAATTTTGATCACTCAAATTAGTAAAATGATTCATTTTAGTCACTCTCCGTTAACTTTATCTTATGTTGCGGTCAACTCTAACAGTTAACCATTAAATATCTAACGTGGTAATTAAAAAATTAATAAAAAATAAATTTAATTGTTTTAATATTTTATATTTCCAAATCATTAAATTAAAAAAATTCCTACTCATAAAAATCCCTCCCATTCTTCAAAACCATCATGGCTCTCCGATCGCTGCTATTCATCTTCTTCCTTTTTCTCCCCACCACCATATCCTTCCTTCATGTATCCATCAATTACTCTCTTCTCTCCCCCCCCCCCCCCCCCCGCCCAAAAAAAAACCTATCTTCTTCTTCCTTTGTCTCACTCTTCCCAAATGTCCATAAACAATTTCTACCTCCAAATCTCATCCAAACAACAACAACATTACATTGCCGGCAACAACAAACGGACCCAAGCCCAACAACAATCCCAAACGCTTCCTCTTCCTCCAACTCCTCTTCCCCATCCCCCTCCAAATTCCCCTCCCACCCCTCCAATTGGTCGCCGCTGCACCACCAAATCCCCAATTGGCTCTCCTCTTTCCCCTCCTCCGTCGTCGCCGCCCCCAATTTAAATCTCAACGTGGTGGACGACGACCTCGACGACTCCACGTAGCAGGCGGCGGAGGTGATAGAAAAAGAAGGGATGTTCGAGAAGCCTCTGACGCCGTCGGATGTGGGGAAGCTGAACAAGCTGGTGATACCGAAGCAGCATGCAGAGCGTTACTTCCCGCAGCAGGGCCCCGACGCTTTGGAAAAGGGGATGCTGCAGGGGGTTCGAGGATGAGTCCGGGAAATGCTGGCGGTTCCGCTACTCTTCACACTGGAGACAAATGATGGCGGTTCCGCTACTCTTCACACTGGAGACAGGAAATAACTCTGCTCGCAAACACAGAACCCATTTTTTATTTATTTTTGTCTTTTATTTTAATGATGTGGAAATATTAAAAGAATTAAATTTAATTTTTTAATTTTTTAATTGCCACGTCAGACATCTAACGCTCAACTGTTAAGGTTGACTGCCACATCATATAAAGTTAACGAAGAGTGATTATACGTGGTCCGTTTACTAATTCGAGTGAACAAAATGATTTTTTTCAGTGACTAAACATGACACGTTTTAGTAAACCCAATGACCAAACTTGACATTTATCCGCCAGTTTCTGCATCCCAAAACTTGAATTCGCTTCGCTACGCTACTCCTCTACTAGTTGTGACTTCATAAAAGTCGCCTTAAAATTGTTATCCATCATTCTGGAATTTTTTTTTTATACTATTTGACATTTTGTCATTTTTAACTTCTGTTCAACAAACAAACACCACATTATCAAAGAAAGAAAAATTATTTCTCATCTTTCACTTTCAACATCATTATTGTTAATCTGAAGCGGCAATTGCCGGGGGTTTAGAAAAAGTAGTATAATTTACGTGTCATCAGATGCGCTTGCTCAAATACAGCCACCCCCAATATGAGTAGTTTCAGAAGCTTGACAACATGTTTGGGGAGCTTGTGTACTCTCAGTCGCAACCTCCATCTCAAGTAAACCAGGATGGCGGCAATTCACGGACATTCGCATAGTATGTAGAACCCTAGCCATGTATGTTAGGATTTAATGTTGAATGATTACTATGTTTGATTACACTTTTGATTATACTAGTTTTGTGCCCGCCTGATGGGCATATGTTTTATTGTTTCTCATTTTCATAATAATTGTAGGCTATCTCTTTGTATATACTTATTAAGATTATTTATTATTCAAACTTTGTCTTATAGGAGGGCTGCCACATTTAGTTTGATTGTGGATAGGAGTAATGTTCATGTAAAACAATAAGAGTCACTACTTCATCACCATTTTGAAGATCAGTATTCATGATCATCTAATCTTTGATTGACCAACATTTTTCAACTTCATATGTTGTATATAATTTTTCATTGATTTTTCTTTTCCTGCATCTATATGTTTGGATCAAATACTATTAGTGTCTAACATTTCTGTTAGGCACGTGATACAAATTCACGCAGATAATTCAAATTTTCATACGTAATGATTGAATCAGAGCTATTTCAATATTTCACCACTTGATGAATATATACCTGAACAAACTTAGTAATTGAACATCCTGGTGGTAGTAGAATGTTCAATCGATGGTAAATTGGTCCATAATTGATACGTATAATCCATGTCCATCATACAAATAATGATCTATCTTGTCGCTCATATACCACAAGTCAAAAGATATCATTGTTGTGCAGAAAAATTCACATATTTGGTAAATAAGCACCTAATAAATAAACATAGTTTAAATAGGTGTAAGTGAGAGACTATTGCATATCACGAGCATGCAATTGAGGTGTAGTTGTAATCTTATACTACCAATCGATACATATATAATTGTGTATTACCTTTAACCTTTTAACACTTATATAACCAAAATTAGTCATATAGACACTCCGCCTCCACTTTACAATACCATACAATATTAATTTAATAATAGAAGATCTAAATAGCAGTGACGACAATTGTAATGTTCCTCCGTATAGTTTACTCCCCGTCATCATTATAAATACAAAAAATTAAGCTTTATCTTTGCATCATGGAATTGAGTTCCCTTATTGACATTCTAAGGAACAACTAACATGAATTAATTAATGGCTAGCGTAAAGTAATTCCTTTTTTTTAAGAAAGCTTTACTATTCATAATTGATTAGATGAGAGATCGTGAAAACCCAACCTATATAGGTATGAAAAAGGAATTTAGGAACAAAAGCGACTTGAGTGAAGTCTAAATGCAAATGTATGTGAAAATGTGGTGACCTAGGATGTTCTAATCATTCACTGACCAACAATGAAGCACAAGCAAAATGCGGAGGATGATTTAATTTTAATGTATTTACGAATGATAGAGTTTGAGGAGAGTCAACATACAAATGTCTGCAAAAAGGAGTTATGTTTCTGGGAGAAAAAGGCAAAAAAGAAAAGGGAATTTTGGGAGCAATGCTGACTTGAGTAAAGTTGAAATGTGAAAAAGATAACCGAAGTCCACTTCAATTTTTTCGAAAGACAAAAGGTCATAGTTGTGAAACTTGTCTCAAACACTTTATGTGCATAACCGTAAAATTAAACACAAATGCGTAACCACTCCTACATTAATTTTAACGTAATGTATCTTATTATTTTGAACGTGGATTTCATATTTTTTATATTAAAAATCAAACAAATATACTCTAAAAACTTAAATTTACATGAATCCCTCGAATTAAACTGGACAATTATGTGTTTGTGCGATGACCCTTCGTCAAGCAGGCAGGTCTCAGCGGCTCCATCAACATGCGCGAGGGGAGGTTGTGGAGAGCCCCTTCGGCCGCCTCCTGCTTTAAGCAGGCAGGTCTCATAGTAGAGCGGCTCCATCATATCGCGTGAGCAACATTTGTGCGAAAGGAGGTAGTGGAGAGCGATGGCGAGCAGGCAGGTCTCGTAGTAGAGTGGCTCCATCACATTAAATTTGTGTTTTCAATGAGAAAAATTTAATCTAACCATTTTATCCATTAATTTTATTTGTTACTAATGTACTACAATAGATATAAAATATTATAGACATTTTCATTGCTTTAATTTATGTCAAATGCTTTTATAGTTGAGTTGAAGATCAACCGGTAAAGCAAAAGATCACATTAAAAGGTAAGGTGTTAACCTGTTTGATGAGATGAGTAGTAAGCTTCTTGTTGTTGATATCATCAAATAGAATTTATCACATTTGTTAAACACTCTAAAAGATATTAATTTGGGCCTCAAAGGTAGTAGGTTCGAGTTTCAGTGATGATTATATATCTCTTTACTATTTTTAGCTTAGAGGAACATAAAAATTTATACAAAAACTAAAAAGATAAAGATGAGATGGAAATTTTTTGAGGTTATTGAATCTTACGTGGTAAGAGATTGCTATAAAACAATCATAATATAAGTTATATATATATATATATATATATAGATATGGAATTGAAGTATTATCATTCAGTTGATTGGGTATTGATCACACTCTCCAGTTTGAGCTATTAACCTAAGCTAGATTGCGGTATAAATCTTGAGTGGGCAAGCTAGGGACGTCAACGTCGACCTAATTTAAGGCTAAAGATAAGCACATTAGAGTGACATTCTCTCAATAAAGTTCGAATTAATCTTTATTTGCTTTGCAGGTTATTTGTTAGTCTAAATCAAATATTAATTAGCTTGATAACGAATAGTGCATGAAGTAATAGTAGACTTGCCTTCGCATTGATAAATTTAACTTACTTTCGCTATACTACACCTGATTGATGTTTACACTTGGCCATTGATTGAGAGAGTAGTTTAAAGTGAGTCAAGTTTTTGGCGTTGCAGGTAACATGACTAAGTTATTAGGAAAAGTGGACTATTCTTTAGAATTTTTGTTTCATTTTGATTTTTTTCCTATCATGGTTGTGTTGTTTGATTTTTTTTATAGGTATTTTATGACCTAGAGTAATCCGGAGACCTTGAAACTGTTATACCACAACATCAACCGCACCTTGCGCCTCTTTCCAAGGTAGAGAGAGCTTAGAGAAGGTTCAGAGAGGTTAGCAACACAACACCCTCCCGAAGAAGAAGAAGTCAAATTTGAAGTTACGGCGGAAGAACAATAACAAAATGCAGGTGAACCATAGCAGACCATGGGGTTCTACTTCATCCCAAGGGTCAAAGATATTCAACCAAGCATCTGGCATCCCCCTATTGCGGCCAACAAATTTTATATCAAGACGAGTTTCATTTCGATGATTAAAAACAATATCCAATTCTCATGTCTCAACCACTAAGTGATCATATCAACCGCTTCTTGGACCTCAATATGTGATACAGGTGAATGGATTACCACAAGTGGCATTCTGATTGAGATTGTTTCTTTACTCCTTGAGTGGACTGGCAAGAGACGCCCTAGTATGTAGTATTAACTAAACGAGTCATGGTTGTTCCCATGACGTCATACAACAACCAATGTTTAAGGTTGGGATCGCACACATTGAACTGATGTGTGCCAAGGTTGAATTCACTTCTGATTATAGGTAAAACCTTTTTGGGCCACTACCTAGGCGTTGATTGACTTGAATGATGGTAAACTTATCCTGAAAGCCGGGGGTGAACAACTCACTTTCTCCATTTCTGATGGCATGAAGCATTCTTATGTGCATGATAATATGTGATATTGTGGTTGAGTTCAAATCAGCCCTCGCCATCACGAGTGCTACTACTAACGACTCCCTTGAGCAGTGTCTTGTGCTAGTTAAACAGGCATCGCATGAATGGATTTATGGAAGGGATAAAGTATCATAATAGAAGATGCATCGATGCATGTTTTTAATGAGATTGAATGCATGATCATCTAGTTGAAACTACCTAAACAATTGTCTTATCTATTATATCTATCTTGTTTATCTTTACTTTAATCATCTATATACTTGCTTCATTTATAGTAGAATTTTTACCATCTATAGGGAACCTTAAAGAACAAGTTGTTAGTTTCAAATTCGTTGCTATAAAAAGACTCATGGAATACGACCCTAGACATAACTATAAATTTTATTACTTCGATTGCAGTACTACTACATATTGCACATTAAGTTGTTTGCGTCGTTTCCATGGATTTTCTTATAGAATTTGAAAGAAGCTAACCATTTTTGTTTGATACTTTTATAAGGTATAGCTCTCTAGTTTGCTTTCGGTTACAAGACTCGAACTCACGAGTAAGAGGACATCATAAATCATACAAGGACGTATTATCGGAAGCTTACAACCCAATCTTTGGAAGAAGATGAATAAGAAGAGAAGAAGGCGAGGGCATCACAAATCATATAAGGACGTATTACCAGATGCCCCATCTAGAAGGTGCAATGGACGAAGAAGGTTGTAGTCTTGAAGAATATGCAGACATCCAAAGTTTCTTGGATTCATGGGAAGATGTTGAAGGCATCACACCACTTGAAGGCTTCCATCATTTCCTTTGTCTTCTTCAATCTACATGCAATCTATCTACCGAATCATCCTCAAACATAGAAGATATCCAAGAGGGATTAGCCGAGTTCAATGATCCCCCTTCACCTCTTAGTTAAAGTTTAGCACACCCTTGGCAAGCCAAAACGATGATCAAGAGAACGATGAGGCGGAAACTTCACCCAAGGATGATTAACATAAAGAGGAGCCTAGATATGAGCATCTACCTTAACCTATCCAGTCAAAGAAAGAGCCTCAAGAGGAGCCCGATAAGGAGCATAAGGACCAGGAGGTTCAAGAGGAGCAACCATCTCAACTTATTCTGTCAAAGAAGGAGCCCCATAAGGAGCCACCATTGAGAGATGTGGTGGATCAAACCATCATGGCATAAACCAAAGAGAGGAGCATGATCCCACCATTCATCCCTCAACAATGATAGATCCTAGTAAAGCTCCATATATTGCAACATTAAGGAGAGTCAAGCACTTGGATGACAATACTGTACATAAACTCATAGAAGACCCAAGCATTGAAATTGAAGGATCTCTTCATGATCCCCTACATCCCCTTCTCAAAGTTTAATGAAGTCATTTGGAGACTCTAGCTTTGAGCAAGAGGAAGTGAGGACGGAGATTGAAGAATTCATTAGTTCCAAGAAAGTTCTTGGTGGAGAAGTTGAGGATGTCATTCCCAAAGTCGGAGACCATGAAGAGATCTGTACGATCAAGGTGGAGATCAATCATGAAGTCAAGCAAGATTTCTCTTGATTCCATCAATAAGATCCCTTGACTGCATTTTAAAGAACCATGAGATTGTAGCATCTTACTTACCCAAACGAGGGGATTATGTGAGTTCTTTCTCAAACCTCTACAACCTTAGAATCTTTCCTACCCATGTTAGATTACTACTCTTCTGCTTCTAAATCATCTAAATGATAGCGGATGCATCATCAAAGTGTCGGGTAAAAGGTGAAAGATGAAAACTAGGGTGGTATTTTCCTCATGGTCCACCATTGAGCCAAAGAAAGAAGCACTTGCTCTCTCCCCATTTGGTTTCTTTTACCATTTTTGTTTTATTTTAAAACACATGGTTCATAAAAAGGAAAACATGAAGAAAGGAGCATGGTGGTCTCCAAGATCTCCTTATTTGATGCATCTTGCAGGAAAAAATGAGAGAAAATCCAATAAGGAGAGGAAAGAAGCCACGAAGACCGCCACCGCCACCGAAATTCCTTTGCCAAGCTCTTCAAATTGTCGTTTCCTGCAAGGAGAAGGAAAGAAATCCGTAGCACGCAAGGAAAGAGGTCACAATGGTTAGAATTGCCATGCCCCCGTTGTTGAAGAAGCCCTACGCCGACTCATTATTTCCTCTTCTTACGCGACAAGGGAAGCCCTAAAATTTGTGTCATGTAAGGAAAAGGGTGGCGTTGGGCACCGCCACTAGGCCGTCACACCTCTAGAAAAGGAAGGCACCCCTCCTATTTTGCCTCACCCATACTCACAAAATTCAGAGTAAATATTGGCGATACAACTCGTTGGAGTCCTTTGCTAAGAAGTTTTTTTAAGAAGAAGTTATGGAGACCCATTCTTGTGAGATGGTGGAGGACAAAGGAGGACGGCAAGACGGAGTTGTGAAGACCCATCCTTGTGAGATTGTGGGGGACAAAGGAGGTGCATCCACTCAATGAGGGAGTAGGAATGGCCAGTGGCGGATCTAGAATTGTCGGAGAGGTGTGTCGCCGATGAAATAAGATAATAATTAAAAAAATTTAATTAAAATTTAATAAAATTACTAGAAATTAATTCATAAAGTTAAAAAAGGTCATGTTTACAACGAACCATTATGACTTTTTATGTCCTGAAATGTTTGTAAAATACATTCATCGCTTATATTGCAAAGCAAATTCTTTTCGATATACACAACTAAACAATCATTTATAAATTGGTCACTCAACCGATTTTGAAGTTCATTCTTGATTATCTTCATGCTGAAAATGCTCTTTCGTACCTTGCAATTGCAACAAGTAAAGTCAACACTAACTTTAAGAGCAAGTAAACTAAAAGATAAAAGAAAAGGGGATGTGACAATGGATCTCGGTAATTAGAAACTAAAAAGAGGTAAGAATGAGTTTTTTATTTTCAATAAGAAGGGTCAAGGGGGTGAAAATGGTGAGCTTCAAAGGATAGGGTTATTTATAATTTTTTCATTGTTGGGTTGTGGTGTGTGTTACTTTAAAACAAGCATATTTATTGATTTTACTTATTATTTTTTATTACTAATTAAGATAAATAAATTTATAACAAGAAAATCATTCTTGTACAATGAAGGTGTGTCGCTCACAATTATTTGAGGTGTGTCGGTAGTCCCAAATTAAAAAAATTTGTACAAAAACATATAGTTCATTCACAAAATTTCCGGACGAGGGTGTGTCGGACGACACACCTTGTCCCTTCCTAGGTCCGCCCTGGGAATGCCGCCACCCTAGAAGGAGAGCAGGTGACTCTCAGGAAACCCTCGATGCCTACTCAAGCTCAAATCAGGGCATCATCTCTCGCCCTGAAGAAGGACGAAGACGATGACATACCCTTGGTGGAGAGGATGTCCATCTTTGAAAGAACCACTCACTATCACATATTAATCAACTGCTCAGTAATGATGATTTTGAGGAGAATGATAAAACGATGGCGTCAAAGATAATGATTAAGACAATGGCGATATCTCTATACGTGGATTCCTTACAAGCACTTGATTAATATGATGATAGACTGTACAAGACCCAAGTCATGGCTAGAGGAAGATAGAGGAGTTGGAGTGTGAAACATCAGAAGACTATCAAGAGTTCATTCACCTTCATCGCCAAAATGGATGCAATACACATATCATAAAACCATCTTTGACATATACAGATGAATGGGGGCGATGGATGGACATCATAATTTAATTGGCCATCCGATAAGGAGCATGTTCTTCAATGTTTCATGGATAGTATAACCTCCATTTTTATTTTTCATTTGGATGTTATCTAGGAGATGAAACATTAGCTCTCTCCATTATCTGCTTTTAATTTCCTTTTACTTATGTTTATTCAGAATCTCCTTATACAATTAAGAAGAATGCTAGCTTTGTCATCTATTTTTATATTTCGAATTGAACTACAAATGAGGTAAATTGTTCGAACTCTTTGATTGCTTCCCTATATTTTAGTCCATTGACGACAATGTCATGTTTAAAGTGTGGGGTGAAAGTGAGTTATGATGCTTTGCTTTGTTATGCTTTATACATGATATATGTTTAGACATTTATTTTCGAATATCTATCAAATGCTAGTAGTTATGATATCTATGTAGAATTATCGAAATTAGCATAGATGCATTATCCATCTAATGGCTTGAGGAGTCAAATTATTGAGTAATTTCTACATGTCATGACTTTAAGTAAGTTATATTTTTTTTATCATATGTTGTATTCAAATGTAAATATTTTAATATTTACATTATACGTTATATTCAAATATAAACATTTGTCATTTTAGTGTATGCTATATTTTATTTAAATGTGAATATTAAAAATTGAGAAGATTTGAAATAATTTATATTCCTACCAAAAAATATCTTTACTGATTTGTTTCACATATTCAAATTAAAACGGACTAAATCCATGATTCGATTCTATTATCAACTCTTAAATCCAGTTTCTCAACCGGCATGGAGCCCGCCAGCACCTCAGCATCTATCTACAGTGTATCAACCACCGCACACGACACAGCCGTGAAAAGTCCACCCCCGCTTTTGCTCTAGTCAACACCTCAGTCTATATCTTCCTCTATCCAACCGTTCATTTTATCCCTTACCCTATCACGGACGGCTCAGATCAAGTCCTTGAAGTCGAACAACCCTCTCCCAAGCTTTTGAATCGTCCGATACTCCGATCTATATTCTTCCCCGAATCCCAACCCTCATATCATCGGCAGTTTCCAAATCAGCAACCCAAAGCCGCTTGAACCCAAAATCCGAAGCTCATTTTCAGAGAGGGAGTGAGCACAAGCGATGGAGAATGAAAGAGAGCAGCAGGTTTACTTGGCCAGGCTCGCCGAGCAAGCTGAAAGATATGACGGTGAAGCCCCCGCCCCCCCCCCCCCCCCCCCCCCCCCCCCCCCCCTCAAATATTAATTCCGGATACCTTTTGGATCTATTCATTCCTGTCTTTCTCTGCTTTTAATGGTTTCCCACCTTGTGTTTGCTTGCGCTTTGGTCTTGATTTTGTGCATGGGGATGACGGGGTTTTCCTGAGTATAGTTACGTTGTAATCTTTGCTTGTGAGTTTGGTATGTTCATTTCCAAAGGGTTGGTGGATCTGAGTACTCACCCTGTAGCGATGTAAAAGCTACGGTGTATTTGACTAATAGTGGGCTGCTCTGTCTTGGCCAAAATTGGGCTGCGTTTTGTGATTGCGACTCTGGGTTCATCACCGATTTGGGTTTCTTTTCGTTTTCACAGGGAAATACATTCTCTTTACTGTGTTCACTTGCAGTTTTTACGAGGCGTAAAAGTTAGAACGGATAAATGGCTCGACTTTGAATTCGTCTCTTCTACGACCTGTTCTTGGTGTTCAGCTCTTTGGTGACTTGGTTGATTATTTAGAGATTTTGTTGCCTTCGTTGCCGTTATTGTTATTTGGTTGAGTTGAGATTCTCCCGATTTTGTTTCTTGGTTAAGCTGCAGAAAAAGTGTCGCTTTGTGTTGTTTACGATTGATCCTGGTTCCTAAACCAAGAGGGTCGATCCATTGTTGATTAGAGGGATGACAATGATAATATTATCGAGTTTCATGATAATATTTGTCACTGTTGGTTCTACAAGATCATTCGTGAAATGTCACTTCAGTGCAACACACTCCGCAATGGTTTTGTATTGTCTTCGTGCATGGGTCCTTGACTTGTGGTCTAGAGTGTTTTTCTTCACCATTTGCCTTACTCTTTGATATTGCTCTTGGTATGAGGATATGAATATGATGACAGCACATTTTCCTTAAAATGGGATTTATCTGGGTTCTTCCTCGTATTCACTCTCTTCTTTCTAGACCTTAGACCATTGATCTAGGTTCAATGACTACGATTCAGGGCACAATTTTTTCACCGTCTATTTGAAGCTCAATGTTTGATATTTTAGTAGCATGACCTTATCATGTTCCTTGCTAGCAAGATGATAGTCTGTCTTTTAAGTCCTGTGTTCTTGTTTTGCTAGTTTATAAGTACATTATGAAGCTTCTTAAGTAACTTGATCATGTATTTCTTGAACCCTCACTGATTTAGTTGTTTTCTTTCCTCTTCCATTCCTACTACTTTCAGAGATGGTCGAAGCAATGAAGAATGTTGCTAAGTTGGACTTGGAACTGACAGTGGAGGAGAGGAATCTGGTTTCTGTGGGTTACAAGAATGTTATTGGAGCAAGGAGGGCATCTTGGCGTATATTGTCCTCAATCGAACAAAAGGAAGAGGCCAAGGGGAATGAACAAAATGTTAAGAGGATCAAAGAATACAGGCAGAGGGTTGAGGATGAGCTTGCAAAAATTTGTAATGACATACTATCGGTCATTGATCAGCATCTTATTCCCTCAGCCACGTCGGGGGAGTCAACCGTGTTTTACTATAAGATGTGAGTGAGATTCATAAAAAATCAAACCATTTCGTTGTGCTTTTTGACAGTCTTTTCTGAATGAAGAACAAGTGATGAATAATAACATGGTGATATAAGATTCTCAAACTTTCATATAGACAGTTTCTTGGCTATGAATATGCAAATTTTGTTTTTATTGTTGCAGGAAAGGAGACTATTACCGTTATTTGGCTGAGTTTAAGGGTACTGATGATCGCAAAGAAGCTGCTGATCAATCACTTAAGGCTTACGAGGTATTTGCAGTGTTTGTTCATCTCTGAACTTTTTTTAGTTGGTCATGTGTAACTTATTTGTAAATGGTAATGTGGCCTTTAGCTTGATTGAGACTCATGTTATATTGCGATGTTACAGGCTGCCACATCATCTGCTGCATCAGATCTGCCGCCTACTCATCCAATCAGGCTTGGTCTAGCTCTAAACTTTTCAGTCTTCTACTATGAGATTTTGAACTCTCCTGAAAGGTTAGCAAGCTTCTCTCGGTATCTTTCTGTTTCCACTATCCTGGCCCCATAAAGCGAGCTATTTCCTCTGCTCTCACTTGCAATTTGCAAGTTTCAGTGGCTTGTGGATAATTTGTGAACTTTGTCTAAGACAATAATACATGTTCTTTTGTGTTTGTAGGGCTTGCCATCTTGCTAAACAAGCCTTTGATGAAGCTATAGCAGAACTCGATAGCTTAAATGAAGAGTCGTACAAGGATAGTACTCTCATCATGCAGCTGCTTAGGGATAATCTCGCTTTGTGGACCACAGATCTTCCTGAGGAAGGAGGTAAGCCCAAACAGTGTCTATTACCTTCTTGAATAGTGAATACTAGACATTTGTCATTTGCTTGAATGTTGCTATTTATGTCGACTCTTTTTAAGTCGAGGGATTGCAGCTTGAATTTGATGTGCGATAAGTTCCAGTTTTGCAAATCCAACGGAGTTTGACATTGAGGTTGCTCTTTCAATACATAGTTTCATTTGAGCCGGTGAATTGCATATCAATGGGTTTAAAAACCATGGGTTGTGAAACCATTTTCAAGATCAGACCTGTGAGGCTAATGGTTTATGGTACTATAGAGTTACAACGACAAAGCCGATTAAAATTTGACACAAAACTGCAAAAAGTCTGTACCAGCTATGTGGTCTAACTGGCCAGTACTATATCATAATCACTGGTTTAAACAACTTGTTTGGTAGGGAAGACACGGTATAATGATTTTACTTGGTTGTGGTTGATGCTTTGCTTTCCAGTCGGGATAGGAAGTGACATTTATTGCTTGTGTGGCGTTTTATACCTTACCGGATGAACAAACGTTTCTGCTTGTTTGTTTGATCTGATAATTGAAACTTGTTTGTTTGGCAGGTGAACAGTCTAAAGCTGATGAAGCTGGAGCAGAGGTAACCAAAATAGTAGCTCTGGACCTCAGAGTGTTTAATGCGCTTGCTTTTGTTACAAGTTCATTGCAACTTTTAAAAAATCACCATTTCGTTTTTTACTTGTTCTGATCATATATTCATCATGGGATTCTTATTGCGCAGAATTAGCCGGGAGCGGATTGCAATTCTTTTCAAAGGACCGGGTTCATGTTGGGAGAGGAAAGGACCTGGGCGAAGATTAATCCTTGCGGGTAATAGTAATAGAAGTAGACGTATTGTGTAACGATTAACTTGTATCTAATGTGCTGCACAGATTCATCCCTCCGTGGGCTGTTTGATTGATGCCTTTGTGCTTTTCATTTCCACCCAGAACACAAAAGAACTCAGAATTTGAACTGTGGTGGTTTCCCCTTGCAATCATGTTGTCTGTGATTCCATGTGAACAAACAATGGGGTTTGAGATCGAGACTAAGGAAATAACAGATTTAGCATCTTGGGGTAATAGAAGCTGCAGGCATCGGCGAGTCAGTGAGAAGCAGTTCCATTGCAATCGATATTCTTATATTTGGATTAGAGGTATTTAATTTTGTCAAGGGAACTTGGAGCTGTAGGAATCGACGAGAAAGCTCGTCAAGAGCTTGACGAACTCCTAGTGCCTCTCCAGTGATCAAGATTCTTGATCACTTGAGGCTCAGCATTCTCTTCAACGTGCAGCTTCATTCCGTACGCAAGTTCCAAGTTCCAACTTGGTCTTTCTATCCCCAGACGATTATTGTCGGCTGCATCCCATTCCCGATCATCAGAATCTGTCCAGTTAGGGATGCCAATTAAATCTATGGCTGTGGGTATCTAATCGTCGTTGACCTAGTCAATGTGGAGAGTTCCCGCATTAATTGGGTATGGATAAAACCTGCAACTTATACCTATACCCATACCCATATCTGCTCCATTACCATCCCAGGTCGGATCCAACCCTTAAGTCATAAATTTAAGAAGTTTATTTCAGCCAATAAAAAAATGAGAGAGGAAAGAGTTATAAGTTATAACAGACAATTAATGTATGATTATTAATAATAGATAAATGGCCCGCGCTTCGCGGCGGGTATACTTTTGTGTCTTAGCGTAGTTCCATATGCAGAGCTTGCACATAAAAAGTGAAAAGATGTGACACACTCGACTCGTCAGTCGATATAGTTTCTAATGTTTACGAATTCACAGTACAATGAAATTAGCATCACATACTCCGTAGAGTTGTTCAAACCAATATGCTAAATGATGAAAGTAGTAAACTTAAATACCACTTATATTAGCATCAACATGTCGAAAAAGTGAAAATGGTATTGTCATCTTTGCATTTTAAGAAATGGGTGTCTGGCTAGCAAAAGATTAGGATAATACCGAGAGTTGAGAAGATGAATTGTAGTTATTAAACATGACACTGACGAACTTATTTGCATATATACATTTGCTTAGTTGCCATCAACAAACATTTATTCATAGATAATCTTTCTGGTGTAGCTTTGTGGAACTTCTCCATCGTTCTGGATAAGTCTCCTAGATCAACCAAAGAAAGAATCAAAAGAGTAAATATCATAGGAGTTCGATCGAGGCGCAATAAATCAATGATTTGATGGATAAACAACTTATTATTAAACATGTCTAGTCATTTTATACAGTAACTATGGTTATCAAGTCACTTTTCAGCTTCATCTTCTGTAGTGGAGGAAGAGAATCCTGAAGAGTGGAATGTGCTCCCTAAAAAACCTTGTGGTCGCATGCAGCTTGGATGGAGTGATGATCCCAGTTTTCTCAAGGTACCGCGCGCCTGCGGATTACTTCTTCCCTGCCTTTGGTCATTTCAAAAAACTGGAATTGAGTAAGCAACCCACTCGAGCTAAGAAATCATGTGTTGTTTGATATCTTACTTTCAACAGGGAGAGTAAGTTCCCTAAAAAATCCCAGCCCCCGCAGATTGTAGTACAAGTGACGCTGCTGTAGTGTTGTGCCATGCTCATTCACACCCTCAAGACTGTAAACTTCAATTCCATATCCATTCTCAATCCACCCTCAACTTCTACCTTGGGGAGAGAACATAAACTTCAATTCCATTTCAAAGAACAGAACAAATAAATATGCAATTCTCAGTACGTAGTCCCATCAATCAATAGAATTAACGCGCGGCCACCGAATGGAAATGTATATAAATCAATCAAAACGTACATGTGTAATAACATACCTCACCACGAAATGGAAATATGCCTGACAAACAGACTCGATTATCTCCCAAACCTACACATGGTATCTGTCTAATGAGGAAGAAATTCTAACTAAAGAGTTTGCCTTGAATTGTACATCGTCAGCCAAATGGACAGGGACATGTTTACCTTATCAAACACCTAGGCTTCTGACAAACATGATGAAACCGGTAGGTTAGGACTTATGAGTGTTGGATTGCTGCAGAATTTGATTAAGGATCAACACCTGACCCTAGGGCTTAGCGTACCAGAGGGAACGTGGACAACCATAAGAATCGAGCAACCTCTATTGAGCATTTCTCCTTTCCATAATCGACAGAAGAGAAGTCATAGTGCGTCGCGAGAGCCCAATCAAAACTCCAGTCCACGTTCCTCCATCTTCAAATCGGAAGAGGAGATGAATCGATGGGTCAGGGGAAGGAGGGAAAGGGCTTTAACGGCAACATGCCTAGCTGCCAATAGGTTTGGGCGAAAAGTTGAGGATGAATCGGCGTCGGCTTGCCTAATCGCCATCCGGTCGTCGTATGGAGATTGGGAAAGAGGCGAGAAGATACGGAGTTTTGGGGACGAAGGACAACGGACCCTACTGCAGCCCACAAAAAGGTACACGAAGTCCCTATATGTAAATTAACGCCCGAGATCGAGAAAGTGAATGAACCAACAGAGATCCGTGTGGGATGTAGGAGACGTACTGTACATACGGCCGCAACCCACTGGACCCCTTATGCAGAATAGGCGCTATTTATTTCTTAATTAATTTAATGAAATTCAAAATTATAAATAAAAAAAATAAACCAGAACTCATCCTCCTTGTCTTCATTCAAAGTCTTGAGTTGGCTCACATAAAAGACATGGTGAATCTCCAAATGCTAGGGTACCTCCACCTTATATGCCACATTGCAACCCACTTCAAAATAGGGAATGACCCTTCATTAGCGGCGAAGTAGTCCCTTGTGCACGTTCTTGAGATGCTTGAAGTGATGATGGTAGAACTTCACCATCACCATGTCTCCCTCTTCGAACTCCAAGTGTCGCCTCTACTTGTTAGTCTACTTCTTCATCTTCTTACTAGCTCTTGACCATCCTCATTTTCTCGTGCCAGCCTTTTGCAGACTTGTAGGCTGCTAGACTCTTGCCTCTATAGCCCATTGTCACTATGGTAGGCGTCAACGGTTTCTGCCCGTCGCAAACTCAAATGGGCTCTTGTTGATCAACACACTAAGGTGCAAGTTGAATGAAAACTGAGGGGTATCCATCAACTTCACCCAATAGAGCTAGTTAGCTCTCACATAGTGCCTTAAGTACACATGCAGCAAGGCATTCACCCGCTCCGTTTGCCCATCACTTTGCGGATGAAAGATCGTTGAAAAGTTCAAGTCAGAACCCTGATCTTGAACAACTCCCTCTAAAACCGGCCCGTGAAGCTCCCATCCATGTCACTCAGGATGTTGCTCAGTATGCCCCAATACTTCGCCACGTTCTTAAAGAACAAACAAGCAACATCTTCAGCAGTCATATCCTTTGGCCCAGGGATGAATACTCCATTCTTTGAAAACTTGTCCACAACAACCATAATGAAATCACATCCATCAACTTTGGGAAGTTCGACGATAAAGTCCATACTTACACTCTCCCATGGGCGTTGAGGTATGGGCAAAGGATCTAACCTGCAGAGCTTCTCTGTTCCATCTTGTATTGTTGGCACACAAGACAAATCTTCACATACATTTCCATGTCGTCTCTCATGTGTGGCTAATAGTATGCTTCCTCGATGAGGGATTGTGTTCTCTCAATGCTGGGATGACTAGCCCACTTGGAATCATGGCACTCCTTCATGATCTCCTTTCTCAAGTTGGCCCACCGTGGCATGAACACACTCTCCCCCTTGGTCATGATGAACTCATTCTTCATCCAAAACCGTCAAGTCTTCCCTTGCTCGATGTACTCTCCTATGATTTTGGCAAAGGGGTTATGGCCAAGGCCTTCAACGATCCGCTCCTTCAAAGAAAACATTGGCTGGCTGATGCTTGAGGCTAAGAGAATCTACAATGGAGTTCTCCTTCCCGAGAATGTACTCCATAATGAAGTCGAACTCGTCCAGAAAGTCTTGCCACCTTGCTTGTTTGAGAGGAGGGCGGGGGGGGGGGGGGGGGGGGGGGGGGAAGATTCTTCTGAGTATGGAAGTAGCTCGTTGCCACGTTTTCTGTCTTCACTAGGAACCTTGACCCCAACAAGTAGTGCCTCCATGTGCACAAGAAATGGACCACGACAGTCATCTCCTCCTATTGGACCATGTATCGTCACTTTGTCTAGTTGAACTTCTGACTCTCAAAGATGCATGTCCTGCATCAAAACACCACCAATAGCAAAGTCGGATGCATCGGTCTGCACCTCGTAGGCCAACGTCGAATTGGGGAGCACGAGCTCCTTCATCACCGCGCTTTCTTCAAGGCCTCAAATGCTTCTTGGCACCGATCCAACCACTCCCAAGCCTTGTTCTTATACAAGAGACCTATCAAGGGTGCTGCCATGTTGAAGTAGCCCTTGATGAACCTCTCATAATAGTTTGTAAGACCGAGGAATGATCACAACTTTGACACCTTCGTTGGTGGCTCCCACTCTTGAATTGCCTCCACCATCACCTCATCCATCTTCAACTTGCCTCCACCTATGTGTGCCCCAAGAATGGATAGATATGATTCTTGATTCATCTCTTGAAATCATCCCATGTTGTTATCACACACGTACCCTTCTTGACGTCCACTTCACATCTCGTTCACCAAACAGTAGCAATATTACCAAGTATAGTGGAGCGGTACGAAGTTTTACCTCATCCTCTTGGATGTCGCATGCATTGAAGTACTGCTCAAGACTCCAAAGGAAATTCTCCAGCTCCCTTGCGTTCCTCAAACCTCTATAATTCTTTGGTCGTGGAACGTCATCTCTTTGGACGGATTGCACCGAGGCTGGTATGTTAGCCATGACTCTCTTCACGAGAGTAACCTCACTCTTGAGGTATGCAATCTCTTCCTTCACGACGATCATCTCAGCATGAAATGTCTCCTTTATAACTTCAATTGTGTTGTTCATGAAGGTCAAGATGGTGTTGTTGATGAGGGACACAAACTCTTCCTTCATTGCCGATCTCCAAGCTCGTCAACCGAGCCCCAAAACCTTGAACATCACCTTAGATACTAGTGAAGTTAGCTCCCAAATCCTGTACCATAGTGAAATCATCGGCCACCTTCACCTCCACTCTATAGGC